ATACAATTTCATTATCACTTTTTTTTTTCGAATCAGATTCTTTTCAAGCCTAAATGGAATTGACATGTTTCCACATGTCGTTTTGTTGTGGTAGATCTAAACATTGCCGAAGGTGAAGTACCAACACATGACTCACCTGCAGTCTGCCAGCATTCATCTCCAGCAGCAGGAAATCATTCTGCCCTGCAGCCAGGAAAAGCAGGCCGCTCAGGCTGGAGGTGCGGAAACGAACGTGCAGTGTGTTACGGCTAGACATCTCTGTCCCTTTTAACTGCACAAATCCATCACCATAGAATGAAGCTGCACATAAGAAAATATCACCCATGATGCTTTTTTTTTTTTTTTTAAATGCTCCATGAGTCAATTGTACACTGTTAAAAATGTTGGTAACACTTTACAATAAGGTGCATTAGCTAACATTAGTTAACATTAACGAAGCATGAACAATACTTCTACAGCATTTATTAATCGTAGTTCATGTTAATTTCAACATTTACTAATACATTATTAAAATCAAAAGTTGTGCTTGTTAACATTAGTTAATGCACTGTGAATTAACATGAACTAACAATGAACAACTGTACTTTCATTAGCTAACATTAACAAAGATTATGAAATACTGTAATAAATGTATTGTTCATTGTTTGTTCATGTTAGTTAATACATGAACTAACATTAACTAATGGAACCTTATTGTAAAGTGTTACCAACATTTTAGTGTGAAATTACAATATATTCCAGGTTAATAACTGCATTACTTTCACAGTAATTTCACAGTGGGACTTCTCTTGTATGAAGGCACCCAGCATGCAATGCAGCATGAATAGATCATGCTGCAGTGTTTTTTTTTTTTTTAATTTATTGGTTTTATTTGTGCCATTGAACTTGTTTTTGGTTCACTTTTAGCCGTTTATGTTGTTGGTTTATTTTGTAATGTTGTAAGTGTTGTTTTTATTTGTTGAGTGTTACCATCGTTGTGTTTTGTATGTCGAGTATTGATGTCACATCTTTCAAAGACGTATCTCAGCAGTTGCTTCACTATTGTGAAAGATCCATCCACAAACAGTTATGAATATGAAATAAGTTATTGATTAATCTTCATGCTTAATATGCTAAACTAAAATCGTTATGTTGCTAAGAATAGTTTGACTATCTTAAAGTCAGGCAATTAACTTATTTCATAGCTTGTCATCATTTTAACAAATGTTTTCATTTGTCACACTTCTGACATGACTAGATCAGAAATTTGAATATGAATATGCAAGGTCAAAGAGCCCAAACAAATGCTAATCACTAACCACCATTATGGTGACTTCAAAACAATTACAGCAGTAAACAGCTAAATTTTTCACAGTGGCACAGTTAAAGACCACTTTATAATTTGAATTCACAGAGCAGTAAATTACTGTGATTTAGCATCATTCTGCTGTTCATTCACAGTAAATGGCCCAGCATGCATTGATTTCACAGCAAAATTCTGACTACAGTAATAAATAACTCTTTAATCCTATACGTTTGCTGGCAAGTTTTTACAGTGTAGCAGAGTGAAAGCTTCACTTTCATTTTTCCCTTAAAAGTTACGTTTTGATTTTCACACAGACATTAAATAAAAGTGACTGAATGAATAAAAACAGCAACACTTTATAGGACAAGCCGGATGGCGCCAGGGAAGCACTGTGATACCCATGTGCATGTGCTGGCATGCTCTGCCCTGACAGCACCCTGTTCTCAACATAAAAGACTCTGACATGGCCACATTGTCTTAGCCCTGCTGTCCATTGATGGAGGCCTGGACGCAGCTGTTTTCTAACCCAGCCACTCCACATCACCCTTTAATCTACACTAATGTGTTCAACACCCTCAATTTGTATGGCACAGAACACTTCTACTTTAGGATTGAAATGTCACACTGATGTTTAGTGTCATTCTGTCAAACTATGCAAGTTCACCGTGGTGCCATTACTCATTTGTGATGCTATAAGTTGCATAAATAAAATTTCCTGTTTTAATGAATATTTATTCGTTTTTAAATCCTTTGTTTACAATGCTCAAGGCACCATGCAAAAATTCAGTGAAGCAATGTGATTCACTGAACTTTGCATGGCTGACACAAGTAGCCTAATAAAACTGTGGAAACACAATTGTGGAATATGGGATTATATTAACATTTACTATGCAACAATGAGTAATTATGTATCATTCTTCTCCATACTGGTCTAAAGGCAAAGGGGGAATATTAAAACCAAACATTCTATCAATGTACAATGCATCTACAGTACACTAAAAATTGAGGTCAAACTTTGTGGCCAAATCTGAAATGACAGTAAGAGAGGAGAAAACAAGAATGCCATGCTATCTTTAGTCTCTTTTATCACACAAAGAGGTCCTACATCTGACATCCTCGAGATTTTATAAGTCTGGACACTGTGCTCCAAAATAAGACCACGTCAAACATCTTGATAATTCAGTGGAACCGCTATTGTGAAGCTCAACACCGAACAACTGCAACTGATGCAACAATAAAATACAATTTAGCACATTTGCAAATTACACCAATATTCAATGTTCATGTAATTACAGGAATTTGCTAAGACATTTAAGACTGAATAATGCTGGATAGAAAAGCTTTAAAAAAAAAAATAAAAAAAAACCTTGACCACTTGAATAAACATGCTGGCTAATTCGATTTCATAATGCATGTTGGTGAATCACTGCATTTCATTGTTATTAATAACTAAGAGTCTGTTTTCTGTGCCTAACACTGACATTTGGCAAGCTGTGAATAATCTCTGAGAGCCACAAATCTGTGCAATCATGAATGTTATATTCTGTGCACAGACTGCTGTCACATCAGTTTTGGTTCATGATTTGAGAGGCACATGCAACACTGGCAATGAACGTGATTTGGATATTGAAGAGCCAACTATTAACATTTACATTTTAATAGATTTGTTTGTATTGACGTCATTTAATCCACAAACAGTTAAAACGACAAGAACTTATATTTTTGTTACTCAGACAGCAGCCATAAGAAAGAGCTAAGAAGTCATTGCCATACTGTCTGGTGCATAAAACCACATAGAAACGTGATATTTGGTGAAAATCATAAATCATTCGCTTGCCCTTGCTGAATCTCTCAAAGGTACACACTAAGGTAAAGGCTGAAATGTCCTTTACATCAGCCATACTTGAGCAGTTTTGAACAACTTACCCCCTTGTGCGAGTGCGACAAAGAGCAAGAGTAGTCCGTTTAAAAGGGTCGCCCTCATTTTAACATCAATGCAGTGTGTTCATTCCGGTTGAAATAAAGAAACAGTGTGTTTTAAATTCATTGTGGCACCAAATTCATGGCGGCTCGCTCAACTCCTCACTTTAAAATCTTTCCACAAACTTGTGTGTTCGAGCAGCAGGCAGGCGAGAGAGAGAGAGAGAGAGAGAGAGAGAGAGAAAAAGAGAGAGAGAGCAGTGGAGGAGAAACTCCGCCTCCTCAAGCTTTCTCTAGCTTCAGATATTTACCCCTCACACCGACAAACAGCTCAGATAGGTTCACGTATAAAAGCAGACCGTATGTTGTACTTGGATAATTACAGTAATTAAAGCAGTTATTAACTTTAGGATATAATCATATGCATAAAATACAACGCAGGTGTTTCTATAGGGGAATATATCAGTGTATCTTATTCTATGGGAACTTTTTTTTGTTGCCTTGCGTAGCCTACTTCGAAATCGTGGAAATAATATTAAAATCTTTTACTTTTAAACACACTCTTACTTCTTAATTTAATTTGTCTACTAACAAATTGTCCAAAATGTCCAACAGTAGAATCATAATTTCATATAGCATAATTACAGCTTGACTGACAAAAAAAATAAAAAAATAAAAATAAAAATAAAATTATATATATATATATATTATCTTGCAATAAGAGCACATA